ATTCTATTCTAATTCTAATTCTATTCTATACCTTATTCTAAATTCTATTCTAATTCTAATTCTATTCTATACCTTATTCTAAATCTTATTCCATTCTAATTCTTATTCTATTCTGTTCTATACCTTATTCTAAATCTTATTCTATTCTAATTCTAATACTATTCTATTCTATACCTTATTCTAAATTCTGTTCTAATTCTATTCTATTCTATTCTATACCTTATTCTAAATTCTATTCTAATTCTAATTCTATTCTATACCTTATTCTAAATCTTATTCCATTCTAATTCTTATTCTATTCTGTTCTATACCTTATTCTAAATCTTATTCTATTCTAATTCTAATACTATTCTATTCTATACCTTATTCTAAATTCTGTTCTAATTCTATTCTATTCTATTCTATACTTTATTCTAAATTCTATTCTAATTCTATTCTATTCTATACTTTATTCTAAATTCTATTCTAATTCTATTCTATTCTATACCTTTTTCTAAATCTTATACTGTTCTAACTCTAATTCTATTCTATTCTAAAATGGCTATTTTTTGGGATGTTATCCAGGCAGTCCTACCCAGAGACAGGTTGGAAAGTATATACAGTTACCCCTTGACTTACAACCAACCAATTAACGACCATTCATACTTACAACAGCACTGAAGAAGGTGATTTGTGATCATTTTTTCGCTTACGACCATTGCAACATCCCACTGGTTGTGTGATCAAAATTCAGACTCTTGACATGTATTTATGATGCTTGCAGTGTCCCGAGGCCACGCGGTGCCTTCTTTAGACTTTCTGACGAGCGAAGTCAAGGGGGGGGGAGCCAGACTCGCTTTACAACGGTGTTAATAACTTCACAACCGCAGCGATTCATTTAACAGCGAAGGCAAGGAACGTTGCAAAGTGATTGAAAATGAGCTTAACAACTCTCTTGCTGAGCAGCAGAAATTCCACGCTCGGTTGTGGTCATAAGTGAAGACTAACTGTAGGGGTGGAAATAGCTACCTATTTATTTACCTTTGTTCTTCTAATCGTGGAGAAACACTGCCAGCAACAAAAGGAATTTGTTGGAGGGTGATGGCTTCTTGTACCAATTTCTAGGACCAGAAAGAGAAGTAATGCAATGTCCGTTTCCTTTCAGCCTTTTGGTGTGAATCAACCTGGACCTTACATTAAGTATACAACTGTCGATGCCAATGGATACTTGAAAAATGGGTCGGGTAAGACTGCTTTCTGTTGACTATGGCATTGGTTTTTCAATGTACTGATTATCCATATAGCAGATTCTGTACAACACAAATGGCAATTTCCCTGTTTTAGAGTTAATTCCCCACTAATGTTAAACTTTGGGACAGTGGTGAAATTCAATTTTTTTTTACTACCGGTTCTGTTGGCATGTCTCTGTGGGCGTGGCAGGGGAAGGATACTGCAAAATCCCCATTCCCTCCCACACTCCTGTGGGAAGGAAGCTGCAAAATCCCCATTCCCTCCCACTCCTGGGGGAAGGATATTGCAAAATCTCCATTTCCTCCCACTCCTGAGGGAAGGAAACTGCAAAATTCCCATTCCCTCCCACTCCTGCAGGAAGGAAACTGCAAAATCCCCATTCCCTCCCACTCCTGGAGGAAGGAAACTGCAAAATCCCCGTTCCCACTCCTGGTGGAAGGAAACTGCAAAATCCCAATTCCCTCCCACTCCTGGGGGAAGGCTTCAACGGGCCTTGGAGGAAGCTAGTTATCTTGACCCCTTCCAGTCCGGCTTCAGACCTGGTTACAGCACAGAAAC